TTTCCTCTTTTGAATATTAATATCAACAAGAAGATAAAAGCGATGGAGCATGACTAAAAGAAATGTTGCCCTCACACACCATTATCTCTCTGTTACTCTAAACTGCAGTCCTTGTCTTTATGGTTTTGGTCTTTATCTTTCTTTGATGAAAACCACTGCAGCGTATCTGATGCATCCTTGCTCAGCCTTCCCACGGCAGCTCCTGGCTGGCTGGCTGCTGCTGTCCACATTGGTTGCAGCTTTCCAACTCCTTCAGCATCAAACTTGCAACAATTTATTAGATGAGGCATCACTGAGAAAGTCCCACTTGACTCAAAACAGATGTTTTTTCAAAAATCTCTCCTAAATTCTTCCACAGAGAAGCCTGTCTTTCTGATTTCTTGTCCCTCATGACAAAAACAGTAAAAGAAACTCCTGGGTTTGAGGATGGCCCACAGTTGGCAATTCTTCATAGTGAACATTTTCCAATCACCAGAAAATCATAAAACTGTGGCATTTCTTTATGTAATTAGGTGCTTAGCTGAGAAAATTACTGAATAAAGAGCAAGCCCATTCTTTCCTTTCTAAGTTGCTTCTTTGTTTTGTGCTCAAATGCAGAGTTGCACAGAAATATATTTCTGGGTGAGTTGTTTCTGGATGAGTACGATTTACCCCTATCCTGGAATTTTCACCCCAAACTGTAGGTCAACATTTGCCATAGTTTGGGTCTGGCCCAGGTGTAGAGACTTAGTCTCCAGCTTGGTGTTATTGAGAGTTGGTGGTGTCTTTAAGAGGAGGAGCCTACTGGGAGGTCACAGGTCACTGGGGGTGTACCCTTGAATGAGCTGGTGGGAATCCTTGGTCCTTCTCCTTCCTGTGCCTCTACTGCACTTCCTGGCTGTGAGATAAATGACTTGGCTCCACCAGGCTACGATGTGCTGCCTCACCACTGGGCAAAAGCAACTGGACCAACAAATTGTAGTCTGGACCTTCCAAACCTGCAAAGCAAAATAAGCCTTTTCCCTTTATAAGTGATTTTCTCAGGTATTTGCTGTAGTGATGGAAAGTTGACTAACAACATTTTTTTCTTTTCAGTGCTGCATTATAAATAAGCTGCTTCATTTTTTAAAAAACACCTTTTTTGATGTACAATGGACAGTCATTTACACATTTAAAAATAACAAGTATGATTATTTTAAAATATATGATATTATTTTAAAATATAATTACAATGATGTTTGCCATGTATAAACTTAGAAACCATCACCAATCAAATGAGTGAACACATCCATTCCCATTCAGCCCCTTAATGCCATATCTAAGAAATTTTTGTTTAACCCAGGGTCATAGAGATTCTTATAGTTCCTTCTAGAAGTTTTACAGTTTTAACCATCTCACATTTGTCTATAATTCATTGAGTTCTTTTTAAATATGCTGTAGGAATATGGCTTATATTGTGTTCATTTTATATGTAGTGTGAGGTACAGATCAAAGTTTATTTTTCAGGTACAAATATCAAGCCCCATTTGATTTTAAAAACCTATCCTTTCTGCACTGAATTGCCTTTCCATTTGTAAAAGGTCTCTTTATGTGTGTGGGTATTCTTATGTACTCTCCGTTCTGTTCCACTTATCTGTTTGTTTATCCTGATAGCAATACCACCTTGTCTTGATCAGAGATATGCAAATGGAAGCCCATAAGCCAGCTGCTTATTGTGTAAATAATATTGTTGGGGTTTTTGGGGGGACAGTATCGGGAATCAAACTCAGGACCTTGCACTTGCCAGGCAGGCACTGTGTAAATAATGTTTAATTGAATGGAGACACCTCTATACATTTATATGTTGTCTGTGGCTGCTTATTCACTACAATGGCAGAATTGAGTGGTTGTGGCAGAGAAAAAATAGCTCACCGTCCTGAAATAATTACTATTTGGTGCTTTAAGAAAACATTTGTTGGCTCCCAGTAATGTGAGTACTTTAGTTTTATTCTTATTTTTCAAAGTTATTCTGGTTATTCAGAGTTTTCAACATTTCCACATAAATTTTAGAATCAGATTGACAATTTCTATACAAAACTATAATCTCCTGGGGTTTTGATTGGGACTACATTGAATCCACGTATCAGTATGGAAGAGAATTGACATAGTAACAATATCACATTTTCCAACCCATGAGCAAATTATAACACTCCGTTTACTTAGGTCTTCTTTCCTCTCTTCATTATTTTGTAGTTTTCAGCAGATATTTGCATATCTTTTTATTTTAGCTTCTGATTGTTTCTGGTACACAGAAATGCAGCTCATTTGTGTGTATTGATCTTCTATCCTTGTTAGTTCTAGCAACTTATTCATAGATTCCATCAGATTTTCTAGTACCGTACAAATAAGGACCAGTCAGTTTTACTCCTTCCTTTCCAGCGTAGGTGGGTGGCTGTGGTTTTACCTACTGATTGAGTGATTAAACCCTTTAGTTGAATGGTTATGGTGAGAACAGCTATCCCTTTCTTGTTTCCAATTTTAGAGTGAAAGCATTCAGCTTTTCATGAGTATGATTTTCACGGTGGGAATTTTGCAGAGGCCCTTTAAGAGGCCGAGGAAGTTTTTTTTCTATTCTTACTTTGCTGAATATGTTTCGTGGCCAGGACCTCACTGTATCTCAGCACCCCTGAAAATAGGCAAAAAGGGGACATCTGCACTTCACAGGAGTCATGCTGTCTGCCTAAGAGCACAGGGATATTCAGGAAGTGTTATCAACAGGATCTTTCACCCTCACAGTCCTGGCTCGTGGGCCATGGACTGTGGTGTGGTCTAGTGCACTGCGCACAGTCTGGTAGCACTAGGGGAGGCTCTGCTTGTGGAGGGGACCTGAGGCTAATTGAAACTGGCCTATGAATTTACATTTGCTCCAAGAATTGTTTCTCTTTTCAATAAATTACTTCACATACATCTTTTCATTCTTTCCAACCAAAGAAGTTGGATGCTATTGAGGTTTAAAAAAATTGCAAATTCATGTAAAACTACAACTCCATATCATGTTCTTTTATTTGATTATACAATTTGATCAAACCATATAACAAAGAACTCAATTGCTATTGTGATTTTACATTTTGCTGATTTTTTTCCATAGTATTGGGGATTAAATCCAGGGCTGTTTTAATTTTTCTAATTTTGAGAGAGGGTCTCGCTAAGTCACTAAGTTCTCACACTAGACTTTAACCTGTGATGCTCCTGCCCTCAGTCTACCAGAGGGCTGTTGATGTTCTTGGCGAAGGTTAAACCTACTTAGAAAGTTTGCCAGCTTCCAGGCTCCAGATCTAAGACTGACATTCGTAGTCCCTTTCCTTTCATCATGTCTGCGACAGGAGTGCTGGAACCAAAAGGGAGCTCAGCCACTCCTAGGTTCGCCCTGAAGGGTGAGGACAGAGTGCATTCCAAGGGCACAGGGTGGGTAAGAAGAGAACTGCCATCCTTTCCCTGAGGCCCGGGCACTGTCAGGCCCCCTCCCCTGGGCTGTTCAGTTGCATCCCAACCCTGCCTGTTCATGCTTCAGGAAAACCACAGGTTTGAGTAGCTTCCATCTTTCGGTGGTTTGGGTGCCTTGGCTGCAGGCCTAGTCCCCCTGCTTGCTCCATTCCACCAGGCAGGTGAACACCTGGTTGCTGTCACTTGATGTGCTGACTCTTTGTTCAGGAATTCCTGACCTCCGTGTCCAGGAGGTGAATGGCCAGGATGGATCCTGAGACGCCAGTCACAGACAGTGCCTGAACAACATGGAGCCCTCTGTCACCCTCTTCACAGGTCGGGACCCTCTGAGATATCAGAATGTGAAAAAGGGATTTGAGGTCTGATAGAAGCCTCACTGTGCCAAGGTGGATATATTCCTTAGCCTCTCTGAGCATCAGCTTTTCATTTGTAAAATGGGGACATCCACAGACCTACTTTAATGGATCTTGGAAAAGACTAAAAAAAAATGTCAGTCTGGCATGGTGGTACAGGCCTATAATCCCAATGCTCTGGGAAGCTGAAGCAGGAGAATCACAAGTTTAGTTCCAGCCTGGGAAACTTGGTAAGAATCTGTCTCCAAAAAATGGGTTGAATATGTAGTTTAATACAAAGGGTCTGGATTCAATGTCAGAGAGACACACAGACAGACAGACACAAAGGCGCCTGGCTGTGGCACAAGTCTCACGTGGCTGTCTCTTGTGTGATGTCCTGTCCCTGGATTTCCTTGAAGAATACCCCGGTTGTGTCCTGATGTGCCAGCTCCACTCAGCCGTGTGTCTGCTTGTGGGAAGAGGGACACTAGCGGGGAATAAGGAGATAGGGATGACTGCAGATGGAGATGACGACAACTGGCGTGTGAGTGTGTGTGCACACATGATGCCTATGTGTGTGCATGAGTGCTCATACACCGAGGGACCAGGCCGGCAGGAGGCAGGCTGAAAGGCTCGGGAGAGTGTCACCTCATGGAACAGGCCCATCCCATGGGGCTACATGAACCATCCAGAGCTTAAGCATCACCTAGAAAACCAAAAGGAACCTCAGGCTACGCATGGTCCTCTAAGGATTTACCCTTCTAAGAAAATGACGTCTCAAAAGAAAAATGCATGTGGATTACAGGACATTGAACCTGTATTTTTGCACATATTGGGTTGAGGGTGTGGAATCCAGGCCTGTCCCATTTCCTTAGTCAGCAATGCTCCATGTCCAACACTGGAGTCTGAGTTCTACCAAAGTAGAAAAGTTGGTCCCTTTGTTTTGAAGCACTTAAGCGCATCCTGCCCCGGAATGAGCACATGGTAAATTTTATCAAAGAAAACCTTTTTTTTCTGGAGGTACTGGGGGTGGACCCCAGGGATTTTGTGCTGAGCTACATCCCAACCCCTTTTCTATTTGTTATTTGAAAGAGAATATCAATAAGTTTCCAAGTTGCCAGGCTGGGCTCAAATTTACAGTCTTTCTGCCTCAGCCTCCCCAAGTGCTCAGGTTACAGGTGTGGGCCAACACACCCGCCTTCAAAGAAAAACTACAAAGAAAATGAAAAGACATAGAGAATAAAAAACAGTAATATATAAAAACAAGTAAATATTTTCTGGGGCTGCTGTACAGGATGGATGAGCAGTAATGAGCCTCCACCCACCCCACCCACCACAAGCCCAGCTCCCCACAGGAGGGTCCTCCTCCTCTGAAACAGGTGTTACCCTTCAGAACAGGAGCCAGACATGTCTGAATGTCAGCCCACCCAGCCCCGGCTCCCAGGAAGCTGACACCGGGGCTAGCCCTGGCCAAAGTGCCTCAGACCCCCAAGAGGCAGGTGGTGGCTTCAGGGGAGCTGAGCTCCTTGTTTCCAGCATCAAGACAGATGGAAGGATGCAGCCACTCTGCCAGACTGGGCCTGCCAGGGCAGGGCACAAGGCCAGGCCAAGGAATGTGTCAGGAGATTCCAGGGTGCTCCCGGGGCTCCTGGGTCTGTGCCGAGCTCCAAGTCTGCAAGGATCAGGCTGTGCTAGCCAGCGGGGCAGGGGCTCCTGCCAAGGACGGAGAAATGGTAAGGAAAAAGTTAGGTCGGCGCCATCCAAACCCCAGGAATGAGCCCAGAAGTCATCAAAGCAGCCAGTACCTGTAGAAGGCTGGATGCGGAAACAGAGTGTAAGTGGTTTGCCAGCCCTGGGACCTGGAGCGTGTGTTTCCTGCTGTATGTTCGTCGGCCTCTATGTGTTCAGCTCTCAAAACCTCAGACATCTTTCCCTCACACTGTGACGCTGGGACTGGGCTCTGCAGCCCTCTGTGCTGCCAGCTGGTTCTATACCAAGATCTGCCAATAGGGGGCACTAGAGGAAGGCTCAGGGCTGGGGCAGAAGACAGGCTTTGGTCTTTCTGTACCTTTCCTGTTCCCTTGAGTATAATCAGGCCACATTTCTTAACTCTTACAGCAGCAGATCCTCCCCAAAGCAGAAAGCTTTGGGTCCAAGCTCTTAAGTGAAATATAATTCTGGTCTCTTCCCTCATTTTTCCAGCCTTGGGATGGTGTCCATTAACAGGCATTACTACCTCCAGCATAACTTAATTTCCTTCTTGTCTTTTCAATTACTTAACTGACCAGTTTATATCTAGTGAACAGTTTTATATTGATTTCTCTTTGTAAAAATGATGGGTTTAGTTGTTCACTCCTGATGGGTCCTGGTTGATCATTTAGGCTAATCAAACATGATTTCTGAGGATGAAATTATGACTTTTCTATTGGTGCCTGGCTGTAAGAACTTCCCATTTGTGCTAATCCTTTTCCTTCCCTCAGGATCACCTTTTGAGTCATAAGATACCAATTTTTTCAAAACTCCAAAATTTGTCCTACTGAAATGTTTAAGAGCACAAATTTGGAGAAAAATAGAACTGTATTTGAGTCTCGGCACGGCCACTTGCTAGTTACATATCTTTGAATAACTTGCATCACCTTCTTTTATGAAGTAAATAACAGCACTTACCTTTGAGGTGAGATGAGAAGACACATAGACAGTGTCTGGATATGGAGTAGCACTCCAGAAGTTTTAGTTGCTAATCCTTTTATCTGCTTTTGTTTGCATGGATACATCAATCTAATCATATCAATTAATTCATGGCATATTTGAGTATAAAATGTGACTGTTGGTTTTCTGTAACCCACAACCAACCTTAAGCCTCATCAACACCTAGTACAATGCTGAGTTCATCACAGAGGTTTACAGAGTAATAGTATTTGGAGCGAGAAAACCCCAGAGCTTGTCTAGAGTTTCAGAGATATTAGAGGTGGTACAGTGTAAGCTCCTGCCACTGGCAATCCTCAGAATATACACACCAAGTGTACATACAGCCTCCAGCTGGGAAAAAAAATTTCTTCTTTAAGTCCAAATGGGTCTCTCCCTCAACCAAAGGAATGAACATCCAGGGAGAGACAAGTCCATTTGCTTCTTTCATGATCAAGTGTCTGAAAGTGATGGTCCGACTGCCCCCTCATCTTCTCTTGTCCCAGTTAAATGTTCATGGTAATCCCGTACTTGGGCAGCATGGTTTCAGACTGCCCCTCATCCCTGAGTGTGCTTCACAAATGTGTCTTTCATAGGTGGTACCCAGTACAGAACCCAGTGCTGTGCTGCACCCAGGGCGACCAGAGAAGAGCAGGGAGGACCACCTCCTCCTACTGCTTTCTGCAGTATGGCCTAAAATTACATCTTGTGGTTGCATATTTGGCAATAATGATCTGCTCCTTTTGTGCTTCTAGTCAATTAAGCCTCTGTATTAATCTAGTAGAATTATGTAAAAAAATTAATTGAGCATTGGGTTTCTAGTAAAATGACAGTGGAATTTTTCATCTTCTCAAATTACCCCAAATAAACAAAGCATCTAAAATAGCAAAGCTAAAGACCACAGAAAGCATCTGACATAACTAGGTACTAAGATTTCCCTTAGAATCTCCTAAAGTGAGGGAGTAGAAACAAAACACTGGTAGATGAGAGAACTTCATGATATCCACATATGTGCAGAAGGAAACAGAGAGAGGCCTTAGGATTGTGCTGGCTGTGGGGATCAATTAGCCCCCAAGTCACCAGCATGAACTGACTGGAAAGCACTATGGGTCAGTCTTAGAAGAACTAGCAAAACTGGAAAGGTTTTGAAGTCAGTATGTGGGTGAATGCAGTGGTGCCTGATAGGATGGATTTGATAGTGCTGGGCCTTATCAAACATCAAAGCTCTTTTCTCAGCTGGGCGTGGTGATGCACACTTGTAACCTCAGGTACTCAGGAGGCTGAAAAGCAGGACCACATTCAAGGCCAACTTGCAATTTAGCAAGACCCTATCACAAAAGTAATATGAAAAAAAGTAGTATGAAAAAAAAGGCTAGGGATATAGCTGAGTGGTAGAGCGTTTTCCTAACATGCATGAGACCCTGGGTTCCATCCCCAGCATCCAAAAAAATAAAATGGAAGGAAGGAAAGTAGGAAGGAAAGGAGCGAGGGAGGAAGGAAAGGAGGAGGAAGCATAAAATAAAGAAAAGGAAAAAGATTCAGCTATATCCTGTCTATAAGAACTGTATTCTAATTATACATAAATAAATTAGAAGCAAGAAATGGAAGAAGATATAGCATGCTACTGATCAAAAGAAAGTTATAATGCTATATATTATCAGATAAAATTAAAACTCAAAGCAAATGATATTACAAAGGATTAAAAATGTCATGTTTAATTTAAAAGGGCCCAACCTATTGAGATTACATTATAATCCTAAATATTTATGTACCTAATAACAGAGCTTGAAAATATATAAAACAAAAACTTCTAGAACTGAAGAATAGACAAATGCACAACTGTAGTTGGATATTTCAATACTGTTCTCTCAATAATTGATAGAACAAGTAGACAGAAGGTCAATAAGTATACAGGTGACTTGAAAACACTACTGACTAACTTCACCTGTGTTCCAGAACCACTCAATTGCTGGGTATGAGAACCAGCCCCAGGGTGCCATGAGACTAAACCGAAGGGGCACAAGGATGCATGACTGCACAGAAGGCAATCTGTCGGGGGATTTACTTAAAGAAGGATGGTCCTGGACAGCAGCAAGACCAGTAAACACCTGGGATTTGGGTGAGAAGAAGGGGCATTTAAAGTGATCAGGACAAAACTGGACTTTATCCAATCTGGAATGTACCTGATTTATCTTAAGCTACTATCAGTCCACATATAACTCTAATGGTTTTGTTTGTTTATAGTGTGGGAGCTGTGTGGGGGAAACCAGCTAGGGTTATTCAGTGGCAACCATGCTGGTGACAACTCAAGATGACTGCAGTTAGGTCAGGCGGAATCCCTACAACCTAATGGAATACTCTAGCCAACAACAACAAAACATACTTTTTGTTTTTTTTTTTTTAACTTCACAAGCATTTACCAGTATAGACCATATTCTGACCCATAAAATAATCGCAATATATTTAAGTTTTCAGATCAGAAAAGGCATATTTTCTGACCACAATGATATTAAATTAGAAATCTATAACATAAAGTTATATGGAAAATATCCAAATATTTAGAACTGAAAAACACATTTCCAAATAATTCAAGGAAGAGGAAAAAAACAATTGGAAAGAGAAAGTGTTTTAAACTGAACCAAAATGAAAACGTGGAGTATCCAACTTTGTGTGATGTAATCTGTGTGATGTAGTACCCAAAGGGAAAAATATAGCAATAAATGCCAATGTTGAAAAACAAGGTTTCAGACCAATAACTTGGCCCTCTAACTTAAGAAATCAGAAAAGAAATAGAAATTCAAATTTAAAGAAAAATCACTGCATAACCAAGATCAGATTAGAAATCAATTAAATAGAAAACAAAAACAAGTAGAGGTAGACAATAAAATCAAAGTTGGTCCTTTGATAAGCTCAATAAAACTGGTAAAGCTCAAGCCATACTGATCAAGAAAGAAAGACAGAGGACTTAAATCCCTGACATAGCATCAAGAACAACACACCTCACATCAGTAGAGATTCTAATATAGCAAAAGGATAATAAAAGAATATTATGAACAACTTTATGCCCGTAAATTAACAACCAAGATGAAATGAACAAATCCTTGAAAAGCAGAAATTACCAAAGCCCTATGTCTATTAAAGTAATTTAATTTGTAGCTTAAAACCTCACAAATTAAACTTCAGGCCCATGTGCTTAGCTGTGAAGTCTGCAAAATAATTTAATAAGGAAGACATACTAGTGCCACACAAAGTCTTACAGAGTATCAAAGAGAAATGCTTTCCACTCATTGTTTGAAACCAGCATCTCCCTAATATGAAAAGCAAAGCACTCCCAAGAAAACTACAGACCAGTGCCTCCTATAAAAACAAATGTACACATTCTTAAAATTTCAGCAAACTGAATTCACACGTATGAAAAGGATAATACAATCAAAAAGCTATGAAAGCTATTTAAAAATCAAAAAGCTATTCATTTTAGTTCAGCACACACCTGTCACCATGATCATAGTATTGTAGTTATATTTTAAAGGAATCCTCCTTTAGAAATATATTCTGAAATACAGTTGAAATGGTAAGTCTGAGGTCTGCTTCCTAATTATTTGTGGAGTTGTGGAAATGGGGAAATATTAAGACTGGCTGTATATTATTGTTGAAAGAATGATGAGCCAATTGGGTTCATTACACTACTCTCACTACTTTTATGTTTTTGAAAAGGTCCATGAAAAAAAAAGATTAAAAAAAACAGTAAGAAGACATGTCTGGGATGGGGGAATCGTGTAACTCACAGACACACCAGGTGGGCTGGAGACCCTCATCATACATTGAGCAAGTACTGTGCTTAGGCACTGTGCCACCACCCTGACCTTGCTGTGCTGACCTCCGATGTGTCATTCTGGATCCTGCTCCAGCAGCCACCCTTCCTGCCAAGGGAAGCTTCCCAGCTCTGCTTATGCACTACTGTTTCCCTGTTCAACTGCAGAGGCTGGTAAGACTGGCTGGCAGAGTCAGACTCACCACATTACTTGGCT